TGTGCCTGCCTTGCCGTTCCCGCTCAACCATGGCCAATGATCTCCCTGCTTGCGGGCTGAGCGCATGAAACTCCCTACCTCGGAGAATCCTCACACAGCAGCCATACAAGAACGGGATGCTGCAGTTCAAGAAGATGGTCCACCTTCACCTGTTGACCAGCAACTGGATGCAAGCAAGTCTTGTAAGCCTGCTGCATGAACTTGCTGAACTACACGCTCTCATGTACTCTCTTTCTCAATCACCCCCCCCCCCCTCTCCTTTCCGCTTCCCTGTTCTTTCTCTTTCCCTCAAACTTCCATTTATCTGGTGCGTCCAGAGCATGATGATGTCTAGACCAGTTCGTCGACGGAGCGCCTGGCCCCCAACACCATGGTTGCTGCATGTTACCATTGTGTGCACCACATGGCTTTTAGTAAAAATATAAAAGGACTCGGTGTTGCTCCTCCCTCTGGGTCACCTTCTTTTTACCAGCTGCATTATCAACGAACTGCATTAACTGTGGACGACCGCTGGCGACAAAGGCATACTGGTATGGCAGTTTGGTATCTTCGAAAACCTTCTCGTTACACGGAATGCTGCTTATCCGCTTTATTACGCCAGCAGGGATAATCTTCAGGATTTTTGGTGGGTGGTTTGACTGCAAGTCCATATATTATGGGGTGTTATTCGGTTTGTGATAAGATTCGTAGGTACCCGGGTGAGTTCCGCATCATGCCCGGAGGCGTGTCTCAGGATGGCGAAACCATCATTGCTGTATAATCCGACGCTTTTTTCTTTAAGACGAAGCTTCAGTTTACTTAGGGTATATACACCCACCAACTCGCACACTTTGGCGAGATCAAACGATCCCATCTTTACTTCAAAAGCGTTATTGTTCTCTTTCTTCATCCAGGCTTCGCCGCAGTCAAAATGCAAGGAATTATTGGCCTGCAGCATTATGTCACCATCTCTCTGGGGAATTTTGACATACAACCTGGCATAAGATAATGCCTCTAGTAAGAGCTTTCTGGTGGTTGATGGATAAAAATTTGCTAAAGGGAACACCATAAATTCTTTAGCCTCTCGTTGAAGTAGAAAGCCAGTTTATGACCGACTTTCTGTGGTGCCACAAGTTGGGGCTCACGGTACTGCGTACCATGCCAATGATCCCATCTAAAACTGCCTGGCTGACCATGCCATGTCGCGGGAGGTTTTAGCTGGCAGGGGAGGAAGTCAGTGAACCCGGTCTTGTCGTCTTTCCATGTTACAAAAAAACACTGCGTCTTAGCAAGTAGCCAATCTCATATCATCTAAGCCAAGCTCCGTAGCGGTCTTTATAGCGTTGGCATTGATGTCGCTGTAGGCCTCATCTGAAAAACGGGTATTTCTTGGTGACATTCTTGCGCAGTAGGATCTGATACTTTTCGAGAAGCATACAGTACAGGTTGCGCAGCTCATTGGCTGAAACGACCACCTGCGTTAAATGAAATTGATATATTTGCCCACCATTCGGTGCGATACTGGATAGCTTTGTCTGCTCCAGAGCCGGGTCAGCCGAGTCAGCGACCCGGTTTGGGCATATTTGAACCCGTTTGGAAAAAGAACACCGGGTCACCTGTGACCCGGTTGGGAATATATAGTCAATATACATCGGGGAGTCTTACAAATATTACACAGCAATGAATCAAACAAGTCTCATTCCGCTGTTACTCCGAGTTTTGTGTCAAAACACTTCATTAGACAGCATAGTACCAAGACTAACAATCACTAGAATGTGTACGGAGAAGGGGAGAAGGGGGCAAAGGTGATGGATGTACATTTCAATAGCGCGAGGAAAAGGGCTGACAAAATCAGCGTGATTATAAGAGGAAAAATACTTTGAGAGTATATAGAGCATAGCCAGGGTAGAGAAACAGCGCGATTTTCTGGCAACACATCAGTACAGATTTGTGCTGCATGGTTACACATCACATTGTGACCTAGGGTGGTAAAAAAGGTGATGGGGATTGTGTTGTGGGAATTACTCACGCCAGGCAAGGGGGTGACTACCACACCCGCCAAGGCATCGGAAAACCGGCGACAGAAGCCAAGACCCGCGAAAAGCGCGTGAGCCACGAGCCCTGGGCAGTGCTCACCATTCCCGCGCCCTGGGTTCCGCGGGGCGCGGGAATGGTGAGCACTTCCCAGGGCTCATGGCTCACGCGCTTTTGTTCACCTTTTTTACCACCCTAGGTCACAATGTGATGTGTAACAATGCAGCACAAAATAATCTGTACTGATGTGTTGCCAGGGAATCGCGCTGTTCCTCTACCCAGACTCTCAACATCTTTTTCCTCTTATAATCACGCTGATTTTGTCATCCCTTTTCCTCGCGCTATTGAAATGTACCTCCATCACCTTTGCCCCCTTCTCAGTATATATTCTAGTGATTGTTAGTCTTGGTATTATGCGGTCTGATGAAGTGTTTTGAAACGAAACTCGGAGTAACAGCGGAATGAGACTTGATAATTATCTTTTATTCTCACGATGGCCTGTGGCCAGTAAGAGAAAAATAATTACAAGCACGGTGATCAGATACAGAGAGATCAAAGTTTAGCTACTTGCTGAGGCAGTAGCAATGGCAATAGGGAGTTTATCACATAGGCTGGGCGCAATGGAGCTATAGATGTGCTGAGCAATGTGAGCAAGTACATATGGAAGACATGACAAGTGGTAGGATGTTTGCTTTGAAATCTCGTCTGGGGTTGATATGCCGGAGGCTGAGTGGAATGCTATTAAAGAGATCAAGAGAAGCATAGATGGGGGAGTCCCTTAGCCGGTTTGTACGTGTTGTGGGTAGTTCAAAGGTACGAGGGAACCTGAGCGTGCGAATGGGTTGTATTCGGGGTAGGTGAATTGCAAGAAGGTGTGGTGGTGCATATCTATGATGCAGGCTACTGTAAATATACAAAATTTCGGCGCTGCAAAATTTCGGCACTTCACGATTTTTGACATTTCGGCGGCGATTTATTTTCGGCGTGGGGTAGAGGGCATGGTATTGCGACAGATGCTGTGAAAAATTTCATCGGCGTTTTAATTTAGGCGTTTTGGGTCGGTGCCGAATATAGCCGAAATTAAATAGCTGCCGAAAATTTGTATATTTACAGTATGTGCAAGAAGGATATGGGAGAGGGTACGGCGGCTGCTGACTGATGGCCATTTGAGTCGGTGCAGCAGCACGGAGTGGGCTCTGTGTTCAAAGAGGGGGAGATGCAAACAGAGGCGAGCGGCGCGCCATTGGATGCGCTCAAGCCGGTCGTTCAGGGTTGCGGGGAGGCGTGAGAGGACAGTGCAAGCATACTCAAGAAGAGGGCGGAAGTAGGTTAGATAGCTGGAGGAGAGAGCAGAAGTGTTTAAGGAATTGCGTAGTCGCAGGAGAAGGAACATCTTCCTCGTCGCTTTAGTGATGATGTAGTCAACATGCGAGTTCCAGCATAGATTCTGCTGTATGAGGAGGCCAAGGTGGCGAGACTTGTTTGATTCATTGCTGTGTAATATTTGTGTTTCTCAATGGATTTGAGTGAAATTTTGACCACACACTCCTGCCACTATGCTGGCCTTCAGGACATGATTTACAAGTTCTTGCGCCTCACTGACAGGCTTTCCAGGCCGGAAAAACTCAAATTTCCGGCATAGTGCCACGGTGTGCGAGCCACCCAGGAGCCAAACAAATGCATTTACAATTTTTTCACATTTTCGTGCTCATTCTGTTCGCGCGCGCGCGCGCGGGACCCAAACCTAGAACAAGTCCAGAAGCAGCCATGGGTGATGGGGTAGGGCCCCTCAACGAGGCCCTGGAATCTGTCACAACGGAACGAGTGGGCGTTCTCTCACACACTTCCACAGACCAAAGTCAATTTTTGAATTTTTTTAGGTTTAGCACGTGCTACGAGGTCGTACCTTTGATACAAAATCCAGTGCTGGGACCTCCACAGCAAGCCATTTCCAAAGCGCTGCACACCAAATCCAGGATACCCTCAGAAACCGGCAAAGACTACCACTCACGTTTCACTACTGCCTAGTACTGAATCCTACCTGACTTCTTGACACGACTCAAACTTGCCAAAGTCACTAAATCAACGTCAACTACAATAATCAAGCCACATATCTGCAACGTCATGAGGGTGCTGGCAAAAGTCGTGCAGCCCAATACGTGGCTCAAAAACCTGATTTTTGGACTTGGAGCAAAATTCTGCACACTTTCACGTGTTTCCATGATACGACAAGTTGCGCACGGTCTGCTCACATTCAAATACAGTGCTGCCAACAAATGACAGCGTGCAACAAAAAAATCTTTCCTTGCAAGGGCACATTTTCGGCCATAACTCTTGAACGGCCGGTCAGATCGGGACACAATTTTCAGAGAATTTGCAGCTATTCATGCTCTTTCAACTGACGTAGCACTCAATATGAATTTACAAATTCGATTTTTCAGCGAATTTTTGGGTAGTCTGCCACCTTAAGCACTGTGAGCAGCCCAGGGACTTTAGACAACTGTCCATCGGGGAGTCTTTTTTTTTTTTTTTACTGAATACCACAGAACCATCAGATGCTGCACAGCGGGGGCGGTGGCATATTGGATGGAAGTGGGGGCGGGGCAAAAGTAACTCCTTCGACCAAAGGTCTCGGAATCATCGTTACTCCTGTGCGCCGATACATAGGAGAAAAGAAACATGTGCATCCAAGAGGGAAGCACCGGCTTTGCAAACGATAATGGGGAGAATTTGAGATCGAGATAGGACAAAACAATAGTAAAAGCAGTGCACCGTAGGAAGATGGAGTGAACTAGTCTTAAATAGTTACAACTCCGTAATGCAGTAGCCACACTTGGACGGACCTGGCGCTGGCCCGGTTGCATAGGTTGTGCCAGGTACCAGTGTGCCTGATTGGCTTGAAATCCAAGTGAAGAAATTGCATAGGTGCACTCACAGCTCCCAAATGTGCCGCAGTTCTTGAAAGTCAATGACATATGCATACTTACAGCGTCCATCAAATTAACCTGCGCTTTAGCATTGACCAATATCTCAGCACACTCAGGAAAGCCTTCCTCGCAGGCTAGGTGGAGAGGTGTACGGCCCACCTAAAGCACACAAACAGTCACCAACAGGACTATTCATTAGTTGAAGGTGATGAAAAGGGACCAAAGGTCTAAAGAAAAATTGACTGCCACTACCAGGATTTGAAAAATTTAGACCAGTGATGTTAAAACCACAGAGCTATGGTATAGCTGGTCATCTCACGAGAGACGATTCAATAATATATTCAGCCTAAAAAAACTCACACTTCCTCTTACACTACCCAGGCTGGGGGGGGGGGGGGGGGAGGAGGAGGGAAGGGGGAGGATGGGAGGGGTTTCTGCTCCCACTATAGGCACACTCTTCGATGAGCTCAATGCCAAACTACTGCTAGTACTTGACAAACAGAATTGTATCAGACGCACATTGGTTGAGTGAGCTGAAAAAGGGAAAAAAGGACTTCTAGAGATCCTTAGCAAAAATAGTGTAACACGAGAGAGCTCGGAAGCTCAGGGCCCTACGCTATGCTTTTTTGCCTTGATGATCTAGACAAAAAAAGCATACGGATGTTATAAATTCAAATAAGTTTTTCCTTTTTTCTAAGACATAACCTGGAATTCGAACCCGCACTATCGCCCTGCATGCATCCCCCGATACACTTCGCATACATACTAATTCTTCCAAGTTGCTTCACGTTATGATCTTGTAGTTGAAAGCCCTATTTGAATATGCATTGTGGCCAGCCGTCTTTGATGGCATGGTACGGTACGGGACAGGTACGGGACAGGTACGGAACAGGTACGGGACAGGTACGGGACATGTACGGTCGAGGGCAATACGACACCGCCTACCGCCTTGATGACCTAGGCAAAAAAAGCATAGGGATGTTATAAATTTTTCAATTCTCCTATTTTTTAGGCATAACCTGGAATTCGAACCCGCACTATCGCCCTACATGCATTCCCCCACACACTTCGCATTCATACTCATTCTTCCCAGTTGCTTCACGTTATGATCTTGCATTTGAAAGACCTATTTGAATATTGCGGCCAGCTGTATGTGGCCAGCTGTGTTTGATGGTACGGTACGGTACGGGACAGATATGGGATAGTGCCAGGCGTGACACAAACACACAAACACACAAACAAACAAACAAACAAACACCAAACGAGAGAGCTTGGAAGCTCAGGGCCCTACGCTATGCTTTTTTTGCCTTGATGACCTAGACAAAAAGAAGCATAGGGATGTTATAAATTCTTATAAATTTCTACTTTTTGTTTTTAGGCAAAACCTGGGATTCGAACCCGCACTATCGCCCTGCATGCATCCCCCGATACACTTCGCATACATACTAATTCTTCCAAGTTGCTTCACGTTATGATCTTGTATTTGAAAGCCCTATTTGAATATGCATTGTGGCCAGCCGTCTTTGATTGTACGGTACGGTACGGGACAGGTACGGTCGAGGGTAATACGACACCATCAACCGCCTTGATGACGGCAAAAAAAGCATAGGGTTGTTATACATTTTTCGATTCTCCTATTTTTTCAGGCATTACCTGGGATTCGAACTCGCATTATCGCCCTACATATAGTCCCCCATACACTTCGCATTCATACTCATTCTTCCAAGTTGCTTCACGTTATGATCTTGCGTTTGAAAGCCCTATTTGAATAGTGCGGCCAGCTGTATGTGGCCAGCTGTGTTTGATGGTACGGTACGGTACGGGACAGATACGGGATAGCGCCAGGCATGACACAAACACACAAACACACAAACAAACACCAAATTAAAGCTGTGTGGACCCTGGCTAGCCCCAGACGTTACTGAAGTAACGTCTTCTGCATAGCTATGGGAATTAAAGCTGTGTGGACCCTGGCTAGTGCCAGACGGAACTGAAGTAACGTCTTCTGCATAGCTACGGGAATTAAAATTAACTTTCATGGCACTCACTCCCAGCCCTGAAAAATGACGTTAAAATACTTGCATTCTCTCTTTGTAAAGTAGAAAAAGAAAACACATGGGAACGAGTTATGAAACAACTATCCACGACTGTAAAAAAGTAAATATCGTGTCCATTCCCGAAGGGAACTCACGACGTCCGCTAACACCCGGTAAACCCTAGCGGCAGATGCAGCGATGCAGCAGCGATGCTGCGATGGGGTCCACGTCTGTAACAAGATGATTAGTAGGGCTGGAACGGTTACACAATTTTGCCTAACGGTTAGCTGTTAGCCTAACGGTCGGTTAACAGTTATAACCTGTAAGACTGCGACAAAGAAATTTTATTGTTTTTGACGCCATTTTATGCCTTTTTTCAAGAATTTTCATGATGATGTACAAAATACTCAAAACATTAATGACTAGTACAGTAGTAACATAAGCTGGGTAGCTATAAAGTGGAAATATTGTAGACCAGGTCGAACTGACATGTCACTCAGTGATAGGGTCCAGCGGATAATGCTCCGAAAATGTTCGTATAATGCTAACCATAAAGCTCCAAAAACTGCCTTAAAATGCCGAATATAATGCTTCAGCAAGGGATATAATGCTCTTGGTTTGGGACAAAAATGGAAGAAAGTCTGCGCATTGTCACACTTCCAGGAAATTATGCATATCGTCGATCTGCATCTGAAGTTGCCACCTTATCTCTCACGAGCTCCACCACTTCTTAGCTCTTTAAGACATGACCGCTTCTCCATTGATTGCTCTCCATTCCAACTTTGATGCAGGGTTGTGGCAGAATAGTCGGTGTATCATATCTTTCCCCTAATTATCTATGTAGTGAGAGATGAAACCATTATTGCAGGTAGTCATCCATTGTTGGGATGAAGTTAATCTTGGCAAATAGTATTCCTGCCTGCAGACAAGCTGTCACTGCGTCCACTCTGTGAATCATGAATGTCTTCATCTGAAACACCAGACGTGAGGCCAGCTCCTGAGATCCCATCTCGGATGGAGAGCCCTTCCATTTGCGGAAATCCTGAAAACACGTGGTCAGAAGTAATTTTGCCACTCTACATCCTTTGCTTGCGCTCTCATCTTCTCCTTGAGATGGGGTGTAGACGCATGGCTTGCCACAATACTCTTCCTTTCTGATAGCATTTAACTGTAGGCTTGGCATTACAACCGTCCACAACTAACTGTACGTGCTTCATCAGGAAAGTAAGACAGGCGCTGCTGAGCAATCGACTTGGTACTGAGTCCATGAGAAATTCTAGTTCTTTTCGAGCCTCCTGAGCTGGACTCGGCAAAGGCAGTTCTTTTGGAACGAGCTCTTTCTGTTAATAGCCGCTCCTTCATCCTGGTCCAAATTTCGCAATGCATCAGTGTCTACTTCAGTATCGCCAGAGCCTCTGGCACAACTAGCAAACTTTTCTTCGTCTGTTTGATATCCACTTCGCGTATGTCTCCTCCGTAGCTCTCCATTATTCTAAAAGTAAAAGAAACTTTGTAAATAATTACTCCGGATTAGTGTCACTTGAAGTGCCTCGGCCACGGTTGGGCATGCTTCACAACCGGCTTGTAAACATTTACCTGACCACATCGCTACAATCATAACGTTTTTATGTAGCAATAGTTATGTAGCGTTTAGTGCTAAAGCTGTTACGTGTCTACACAATCACAAAGTCATGCGCCGGTACAATGCATAGTGCTCAAATGCCCGGAATCGGCGGAGCGTAGTACGCAAGAGGTAGACAAAAGGAGTAAAATAGGGCTGTTTTGTTGTTCCTCAGACTTTCATGGCGAAAACCAATCATCAGACAACATCTCATGATCATGATTGTATCCGATTGTTGCCAAAAACCTGGGATTTCTCGATATTATCCACTATGAAACTCGTTATGCCGCTCAAACCTCACATAATGCTCGTTTTGTTCCTTTATAATGCTCCATAATGCTCTGATGCTCGGATAGTCGTATAATGCCGAATATAATGCCGGCATTATCCGCTGGACTCTACTCAGTTATCTGTTCATGGATCACACTGTGACGACAGTACAGTGTACACAGTCAGGTCACCGTGTTTCTGTAGCCGTGCATGCTCACTGTACTCTGTAGACTGTACTGTACTAGTCTGTAGTGTGTACAGTCAACACCAGCTCGAGCACCGTACCGTGCAACCGCGTTTGGATGATCGCTTCAGGCCGCGCTCCCCGAGCCTAGCCTAGCTAGCCCCAGCGCCCTGCCTTATATTTTTCGAAACCTAGGTCGAAACTTTTGAGGGGGGGCGCCCCCCGGCCCCCCCCCCCCCGCCCCTCCCCCAAACCCGCCACTGGTACCGCTCCATCATGTACTAGTAACGTTCCTGTAGCTCCGTGCAAGACCACAGCGCCATGTACGTACTAGTGTATGGAGCGCGCGAGCAACATTCAAAACTACTGTTCTGTTTGCAGGCCTTTTTCAGGCAAAAGAAGCCCTAGTTTCGACTCTTTGAGTGCCTGTAGTGATGATTCTCGAATATCACTCGAAAATTCAATTTGCTGGTGCTCCAAATTATTTTTGAGACAATCAACTTCAAGCCTACGTTACTGTGCCTTTTCTCACTCGCTCCAAAGGCAAGCAAAAAAGGATTTTTCCCTGAGGATAGGTGCGTTAGCCACGGCCTGCAACAACATGTTACGATGAAGACTCGAGGGGACAATTTACGGGATCTGATTATGTCTGACTATATTTCTAATGTAACAGTCCGCTGCAAACCTTCCCTTGGTGCGTCGGATGTCTATGTCCACTTGTCACTGTGCGGTGTTCTTCATGTTCTGGCTCCTCGCTGACAACAGGTGCTTCCACGTCTGGCGGAGTGTGACTGTCAGTCCGCTCCGAAAGTTCAATTGGAATAACAGCGACTTCATCACTCCCACTGTTTCCTGTTGGAGCGGCAGCAGGAGTTGCGCCGCCAGAGGAACGCTTTACAAAAAATCCAGGCTCTGCTGGCTAGAGCTTGGCCTTTGGGAATGTCGCTGAGACATCGGAGAAAAGTCTTCGAGTCAACCAAAACACGATTCAAACGAGGATGATCGCCTGATCAGCTGAGCCCTCGGCATTCGAATCGTGTTTTGGTTG